GACTATCCTGGGTAGCTTTATATTTAAAACTTAAATATCAAAGCCCCATGATCCTAAAAGCTTATAATTTACAACTCCTTTCAAGGCAAACAAATTTAAGCAGAGCCTCAATGTATCACTCTAAGAGTGGAGAAGCTGTCTAGAACTTGCACATTTGAGGTTTCCAGCATATAAAACAGGACACAAACTCGTATATGGGTAGAAGAGACCCAGATACCTCAGAGTTTGTAACTAGCTTTTAAACTTTGGGCTAAGAGCTGAAGTCGGTTCTGGATCTCAGTTTCCTTGTTTGAAGTAAGAAGCCTGGACTTTCTCTGCTCTCCTCTCCTCTTAATACCTCTGCCTTAGTTCAGTGAAGAATTAAGATAGCCCACTTGGATTTATGTGCTTAAAGTTTCTTTTCTGCTGTGATTCTATCAATAGCTTCATGAAACACTCAATTTCGATTCCCCCAAAATAATCCTTTTTCCAGGGTTTTTATTTCTTTAAAACTTTCATCTTTTTTTTTTTTTTTAATTGAGAAAGACACATGATGTGGTGTCTGGAGAAGTTAAATGTTTACTTAAATGACACACAGTGCCTCTGTTCATTCTGAGAATGAGCACATGTACTGTGATTCTGTCCTGACCTGATGATGAAAACGACTTAATTGTTTTGTAACTCAAAAAGCCCAATCCAAGACAGAAAATCAGTTCCCTCAGTTCCTAAAGCAATTGTGCTTTCTTTTCCTACCGTGTTCTCATACATGCCAAAGCTATATCAAATATTGTCTAACCCACTAATTGTATATCTTCCCAAAACACCAGGATGACATTCCTTGCCCTGAACAGCCGAGCTAAAACATGTCACTTAGGTTTGCCTAAGCGACAGTGTGGGGAACTTTCCAACCACAGATGAGCAAACTGTGCTCTTTGGAGAAGAGCCTGATTCTGTAGTCAGAGGCTCAGCCAAGTGAACCTGAAAGTGTCTCCCTATTATCCCGTGGTCTCCACACCTGGAGCTGATTATTCCAGCAAGCTGGAGGTTAAGCTCTGAGTGGTGTTTCCAGATCTGGAGTGAAAACAAATCCAACCTGTGATGTCAGGAATTATATGCCAGTGTGGCCTGGACCATGTTCTGCAGAATAATAATGCTCACCCAGATGATAAAAAAACCATCCCTGTGGAACAAGGACTGTTGTAATTTAAGTGTGAGGTTTTCTGAATGTGATGGGCGTTTCTTGCAGGTTCGTGAAGCTCATCAATACATAGAAGATTTCTAACAATTTCTGCAGTGTAAAAATCAGACATATTCAGTGTTTGCTAATCTCATTTATTTATTTCATGGATGATCTTTCAGCATCTGGGAGCACTGATAGCAAGCACTCACTGAGTCCACATTTCTACTTTTTTCAATCACAAAGAAGAAAGGAAAAGTGAAAAAGAGCTTCCGTGTAGGCCCCAAATGTGGTGGGAGTTTGGCTTAATGGAGGAACTCAATTACTTAACAAAGTGTCCAAAATCCCAAGAAAGTCTGGCAAATAATCACTATTTAAAATCCACTTAATGAATGGATTTCTTAATTTGGTAGACAGTGCCCAAGGGATTCTTTTTATTGGAACAAAAGCATCAGCCCAAGATGCATTATTTGGGTCTATCTTTCCTTCCTTGTTCTTATGCATTAATTTGTTTATTCACCAAGTTTTATTTATCACCTGCATGTGCTAGTTACCACGGAGATATTTAAAAAAATGATGAGAACCTTGCCTTAGTCCCCCCAAAACCTTTAGTCTATCCAGTCATGATCACACAGACCCAATCTGTTAGAAATGTGGGAGAAAGAGGGTATCCCATAACAGAGAGGACATGAAATATAGTAAGAAAGAGGGGAGAGAAATCCCTTGAAGTTGAGGAATATGGGAAAGGAGAGGATAGTGAATTGAAGGAAGTAGAAGAATTCTGATCAATAGATGGAGGGATAGACGAACCATTGAAAATCCATTTCCAGATGAGAGGAAAATGCAAGCAAAGATGAAGGTGAAACAGTGTGCTCAGGAGGAAGCACAGCATCTAGCTTAGTAGGACCAAGGAAAACAGTAGGAGGGAGACTTCCAGGGAAGGTGGAGCTTAACCATCATCACTGAGAGCTTTCCAAAGTGTTCAATGCAACAAATTATTTGCTGACGATGAGGCCAGGTGAAGCCTTTGTATCCCAAATTAGGCCTTTGACAGAAATACAGAGCATCCACTGGATGAAATAGAAATGGGGTGAAAGGAGGGGATCAGGAGGTGCTTTCAATGATTTGGTCAAGAGACAAAAGAACTTCTTAACAAGGATGAGAGGTGAATTTGAGAGACATGGCAAAGGTTCAGTCAAATGGCTGTTGTGACCAGCTGGTGGTGACTCCTCACAGAAAGGAAATTAAAGATGGGGCTAGGTAACCAGCAGAAGCCCATGCCATTAATGAAGTGAGGGGAAGCCCATGCCATTAATGAAGTGAGGATGTGACTTCCCAGGCCATGGGAAGCTGTGTGACAAATGCCATCGAGTGATGCCAAGACAGTGCCAGTTTATTCCAAACATGCTCAGACTAAATCGTGACCATAAATACAATGGTTCATGTGGGATATTCAAGCCCAAACCACCTAAAGTACCCAACTTTGCAATACTGTAAGCACCCCATTAAAAACTTCCTGAATGTACCAGGATCTGTCTGAATTAATGTAAATACCCATTTCTAGTGTTTCTCCCAGCTGAGTATGGTCCGCTACGGTCCACCTTCAATTTGACTTACTATAGTTACACTTGCTTTAAATGTAACCCAAACCTCAATTAAATATTAGTGTTGCTTAAAGACCACCTATTAAAATCATATGTCTATCACTTTAATCATATTATTTATTCCACAGAAAAGTCCTTAGTTCCCATTCATTCTTGGCACATTCTTAGGAACCAACCCAAACAGCATGCTATCTATCATGAAACCTCCCTTCACACAGCTAACTGTACTTGTTCATTCCTTCTTTTTATATCTTCATGCCACTATTTATACCTGTATTTTGTTTTACACCAAATCTTTGTGTAGATAATAGTCTTTTTACTCAATGATAGGCTCCTTGAGTATAGAAACAAGTATTCTTCATTTCTGCCCGTAACTGGTACTTATTAAACTTAGTTAAAACTGGCTATCTGCCAATACCCATAAATGATATCAAAAGTAGCAAAGCTTAATAGGAGAATACAAATGAATGGACAGATATATTAGAAATGACCCTCACTCTGGAGGGGAAGAATATAAGATTATGGATTAGGGCCATGCCTCTCCCACTTACATGTCTACAAAAGTCATCTAGAGGTCTAATTATGCACCTGTTCCAGGAAATGCTATTAAATACCATGGATTTTGATTCATAACTCCAGAGTAGGGCCATGAGTTTGCATGTCTAACAAATTCCCAGACATGGCTGATGCTGCTGGACTATGGACAACACAGTGAGTAGCCACTAGTATGAAGGGTAACCTTGATGTCAGGATGCCTAGACACTGAACTCCAGCCCTGCAATTTACTGGTATTATTATCTGAAGTTACCAAATTCTCTTGAGACTCTGCTTCCTCGCCTGTAAAATGGCAGTAATAGTGGGACCACTTGGAACTGATATGGTGCCTAAAATAATTAACCTATAAAATCTGCTTCTGACAACACCTAACACATAGTAAAGTTCATGCTCAAAAATTAGGTGTCAGTTATTCCATGGTACATATAAGTCAATAGGTTCCTAAAAGAGCAGGGGTCATTAATTTATGGCCTGCAGAATAAATCTGATTTGTTGGATGTTTTGTTAATGCTGGTAAGCTATGAATGGCTTTTTATTTCTTAAATGTCTGAAAATATCAAAAGAAGAGCATTTTCCACAATGTGAAAAATATATAAAATTCAAATTTCACTGACAATAAATAGAGTGTCACTGGATCACAGTCACACTTTGGTCTACGTATTGCCTAAGGATGCTTTTGTGCTAAGATAGCAGAGTTGAGGAGGATTCGGATAACTGACCATAGGGCCAGCAAAACTTAAAAGGTACCACCTTAAAAGATCTCCAGTCCTTTTATAGCCCCAAGTGACTATCAATATTGGAACTGGAACTATACATATTTCTGTTATCTACTGTGGCACTTATGCTTAGTGGCTCTAGTTTGTAATGTAACAGTACCAATGTAATAAAAGATTCACAGAATCTAAGTTATGAAAATTAGGAAATGAGATGAATTTGAGGGAGAAGTGGCAAGATGGGTTACCATCAAAGTTCCTCAAACCAGGAAATGCTATTAGATATCCCAACCCACTTTTAAAAAACATTTATTATCCTTTTTCTGATTATAAAAGCAATACATGTTTATGGTATTTAGAGAACACACAAATGTTTACAGAATAACAATTGGTCAAATTCCCAGTATTAGAGATAACCATTTTTGAACAATTTTTTTTTTACAAAATTGGCATGTTACTATACAAAATAGTTATTTATTATTAAGGATAACACTTGTATGATTTCCTCATATATTCTGAGAACACTGTGCTCAGTGGATAACAATGTTCCATTATTTGGATATGCCATAGTTGAGTTAATTTTCCCCTTCATTATTGAATTTTAGGTTATTTTAAAGTTTCATTATTATTTGTAAATAATGCTATAATAAACTTGCTCATTTTTCTTCATATCTGTGATTTTTCTGCTATAAGTTACTATAATCAAACTTTTTGTGTAAATTTGGGTTACTTTCAAGGGAGTTGAGAGAAAGAAGATAAAGACAAAAGGCTAACATTGATTAAGATTATCTTTTTGTCTCTTAGTTTTCCAGATTTCCAAACCATACTAATTTTAGAGATTTCTACCAAATATGCCATTCTGTAACATTATCTTTGCCCAACATGATTTTTTTTCTATACCCCATTTTTAAATCCATACCATTACAATCAAGAAAACAAAGTTCCCCTTCCCTCAGGAAAAAAGGCAATGAATTTATCAAAAATATTTTATTTACAAAAAATCAATTATACTATACATCCTATACTGGAAATACATTGAATAATTGCTAAAATAAATACAGGCAATTAATTCAACTTTTTAAGAATGAGAGAATTTGACATTTGAATGTTATCAAAGCTTAACTTAGAACATAAATAGTTAAAAAGGCAAACTCAAGTTTTAGTCTTAATTATTGGCATGGTGTGTTTGTTTCCCACAGGCTCTCCAATCCGTGAGAGTCTGAGATTCAGAAGGTGAATGTACCTTTTTATACTCGGTAGGTAGAACATGCAGTTTTTTTTTTCTTAGGATATTTGTACTAGGTATCTGCATAAAAGGGAAGCAGAAAGACAGGAGCACTCTGCTTGATCTTCTTCACTATCTCTGCTTCACCACAGTGCTTTTTATTCAACTATTCACATGTTCTGATTGTGCATCAACACAGGTGTACACAGCACCAACTACAACTCAAGATCAATCATGTAAAAGACAAACTGAACAAATGAGGCCCCGTAGCAACTAAATTGGTCAAGTTCAGAGTATCAGGTTCATCAGCTTTTATATGTGCCAATTCTTGATAGTCTTATTAGATCTTGCTGTCATTTCTATTGTGCAGACATTTTTATGGAGACCAAGAACAGGAGAGATGAGGCCATTCGTTATCTGAATAATTCAGGGGAAAAAAAAGTCTTCCCTGGAAAGTAGAAGGACACAGAGATTTAATCTGCCAATTTTGAATCTGTAAGTTTTATATTTGTTATAATTTATCCAGTTCACCTGGGTAAACATCATATTAATACATAATGCAAAATGACCAATTCAAAAAAAATAGATGAAAATGTTCAATGTACAGATAGGAACTGGTACATTCAGGTTATAAAACAGGACCTTGAAGAACTGCGTTACATTTGTCCAAATTATTCAGATAATTTTTCCACTTTCCATTTTATTTGGTTTGGGAAAACATAGCTAGAATTATTCCTCTTTGATATTCATGATTTGTCCAGTGCTGAATGCCTCGTGTTTTCTTTCAAGGACTAGCATTCCCTTTTTATTACCTGAAGAAAAACTTGCACTTTTCTACCCTTGGACCTTGCTCTTCAATGAATTCTTTTGATACACACATAAGTGTGTATGTTTACTACCAAAGTGGAACAGATATATTGGCCTTTTCTAAAATAAATGAAAACCAAAAGTTAGAATATTGAAGATTTTAAATTCTTTTCACAGAAACAAACTATTCAATTTTTAAAAGGTACAGAATAAGAGAAATATTTTATTCTTTCTATCATGAACATCAGTTAACCAAGCTTCACATTTTGGGCAAGTCTTTTTTTTTTAAGTATGATTTTTTTCAGAATTTATTTTTATTAAAAAAAGGAAGAACAGGTGTATTTTGGCAGAAAAGTAAAATATAGAATATGCAAAATTTGTTTTTAAAATCAGCATACAAAATTTTAAAACACAGTACAGTTATATCAAAATACAGCACAGCCAACGGCCTTCGACATTTCCTTTGGCATTTCATTTGGTAGAGTTAAAAAGAAGAGAAATCCTTCCTAAAAAAATTAGCTATCAAAACAGTCCATAAGTTAGGTCGTATAGGTTGAAAGAACTTTTCCTTGAGTTTCCAAAATCCTTTTCTTCCATGATAACCCACATAAAGCATGGCTAGTGAGGTATATAGGGCAAACACTGTCAGGCAGATGCACGGTAAGGAAAAAGTGCATAAACAAAGAATCCATCCCATTTTCATAGAAATAACAGATTAATTTCAATTTCTTCTTATTGATGTATCATTTTACTTTGGCAGAATCAAAATAATCCATAAAAATGTCTTTGTTCAAGTCGCAGCAGCAGTGATATGTCTCCTTTGGTGGCATCATCTGATGCCACAATTACTGTAGCGCCCCTGGAGGAACTAAGGTGTTGTGTGTGTCTGCTTGTGTGCCTGCAAACATCAACAATGTGAGATCATACATCGAGCACCATGTCATACTGTTGTCCCTTCTTCCGCCTGCCACACTTATTGATGAGAACCACATACAGTGTCAAAAGCATGACCCAATAGCATGCATAGAGCAATGTTCCAACAATTAGGACTGTCTGTTTGGATTCTGAAAATGGCTTTTTAGATTCCTTATAAATGGTGAAAATCACACCACCCAGGAGGATTGTAAACCAAACCGACACTGGAATGAGTCCTATGAAATTAACAACAATGGTTTTCCTTCCAGATGTGCCCCACCCAGCTTTGTTTATCGTTGCAATTGCAAACATCTTAGCAGGAAGTAAACTGGACATGTATAACACTGAGTAGAGAGACATAAAGACCATGACGATATTTCCTCTAAGGCAGCTGGCAAAAGATGATTTTATGAGACCCACGAGCTGGACAGTTAACAAGAAGAGGAGGATGTTCCAAATTTTACCCCGGTAGAAGAGCTGGATTACTGTGGCAATGAGAAAGAAAGGAAAGAATCCAGTGATAACGGCTTCGTAGGTCATCCACAAGTGATGTTTGTGGAACCACATGGCATTGTACAACCACTCCCGGAAGTAGGACTTGCTCCAACGGGTCTGCTGGTTCAGCCATCTAAGATATTCTATAGGCGTTTCAGTAAGGCACTTGGATCGAGCTGTGTATTTTGTTGCATAGCCCAGACTCAGCACCCGGTTCGTTAGATGCCTGTCATCACCGAAACTACACTGGTTGCCCATAAATTCCTGATTGTACCAGTCTTCCACAAACTCATGCAGCAAGGAGTTTCTGTACATTCCCAAAGGTCCACTAATGCACTGGACACACCCAAAATAAGACTGACAGGCCCTCTCTATATTAAAGGCCATCCAGTATCTCACACTGCTGAGGAAGGAGATCCAGGAATCATACTTGTTTAAAATCTGCAAGGAGGAAAATAAAATAATAAATAAATAAATGTATGCTTTAGCTAAAAATGCCAAGAAAACCTGAACCATACTGAGATGACTACCTAGCATGAGATTTGTTGTTTTATCCCCCTACTTGGGCTTCCTTCCTCTTTTTGACATAGTTAATTTTGTCTTCTGTTTTGCTAGATTAATTTGACCTGTGTGTGTGTGTGCGTGTGTGTGTGTGTGTGTGTGTGTTTGTATGTATGTGTGTGTATTCTTCTATGGTGACCATTTTCTTCAACTACATTATTCTTGTCTTCTTTTTGCTGTTACTAGTTCCAGCTGTTCTGATATAATTCTGAGTTTTTTAGGCTTTAGTTCTCAGTCCATAACTGCTTCCTCCATAAATTCTTTCCTATCATCTAAGGTGTGAAGGTTTTAAAGTCCTGCTCCTTCCTGTTCTAGTTAATTTCTAATTGATCCAATCCCTGGCTGTCAGTTTTCCTTCCCTGCTCTCTACATTGTCTTGTAATGCCAATGAAATAAGAATTCACTCTGACCTCCCCATAAAATCTGAGTCCTGAAATAATGCTTTACATAAAGTCTATTGAAAATTATGTCTTTTCTTGGTGATATATCTAAATGCTCTTCACTGTCTCACTATTATTCATTTTTTTATCTGGATTTTGCATGCTTCCTTTGTATCATCTGTCTATTTTTTTGTTCTTCCTAAAACAATTTGTTTTCACCATTTCTATGAACATGCATACACAAAATGGGTTACACAGCAACACCAAATCTAAACTTTAAGGATAATTATCCATATACTTCTCATCTTTTGTTAAAGTCTAACCCCATGTGTTTTAATCTTCACACATCTTCGCATACTCATTTTTCCTTTCTGCAAATTTCAAACTTACCTTCACTAATATTTCTTTCACTAATTGTTTTTCTACTGGTAGTAAATGATGGTTTATATTGGAATACCTACCTGCTGTTTCTTTGCCTTATTAGTACACATTTGAGTTGCAATTATTTTCTCCCTTTGTTTTCCAATTTGTATTTTAATCAACCACACATTGGCCAGATTTTAAATAGAGAAGTATTTTTTTTAACCATATTTTCATTTCTTTACTTCTATAACTAAGTGAATTCCACTATCAGATTTTAGCAGAACACTGAAGATTAACTTGTGACCCCAGGAGATATGGTGGAAATCATTGCACATTTATGCTATGTTGTATATAATTTATCAGTTACTACAAACACAAGGGATACCCCATGACTAAGGAAAAAATAATAAGTCATTTCAATTTAGATAGGAAATGAGACATTGAAATGGGCCCATGGCACATTCTAATGGGTCCAGCACCAAGAACAATACCTGGCACAGAATAATAAATATGTATTCAATGGATTGATGAAAGAAAGTGTTTTTAAAAGTGTCTTCTTTAAAAAATGAAGCTATATGCACCTGTACGTCTCCCCCAACACCTCCAACCATGGGGTCTTCTTCTAGAACTTTCACCATCTCCACAGATGAAGCAGGGTCAAGCATAGTATCTGAATCACACACCTGCAAAGGAGAAAAAAGAAAATGAGTTAAAGAAAAGAACTATGAGTGCACTTTAGTCAAAATTAGGCACATATGCTATGCCCTAAGCCTTACTGTCACAAGACCTCAGTGGACAAGTATCACAAGAATCTGTTATTCTTGTTATATCTTGGACAATGCAAAGAGTTGACTTTTCAGAAAGTTCGATATTTAAATTAGTGACATTGCTAGATAGAAGAGCTAAAATACTGTGCTGGGTATAATTTATAGGCTGACCAGGTTTTTCTCACTTTGCCAGGGATATTCCAAATTTTGACAACAAAAGTCTCCTGTCCCAGATAACACTCCATTCCAGGGAAACTCAGATGGTTAGTCACCCTAGATGTCTTTCTTCAGTTGCCTCAAATAAAAATTGAAAAACTTGTCTCTCAGTTTTGAATAATAATAATAATAAAATTATCCAACTGGACTAAAAGAAGAGATATTTAGTGGAGCCCCCACCCACCATTTCATTTTAATATGCTGATTGAGAGACAGAAGGCAGGTCTCCTCCAGGTGATTGTATGGTTGTAAAGCAAGAGCGTTCAGTGCCCATACCACTTGGGCTCGCAAATACCCGCTTTTGTTGCAAAGGGAAGGGAATTCATGTGACCTTCAGAAAACCTTTTTATTCTAGAGTGTTATTTGTTCTTCTATGCCTCAGGGTTTAAAAGCAGATATAAATCACCATGGGTTATTCTAGAACTGTCAACTGTTACTCTTAAAAACAATCTTTATAAAGGTCATAACAAGCAATGATGAAGCCAAACCAACTACACAATTAAAGTTAAGATTTTTGGAATTCCTCTAAATGTGTGCACCCCTACTGGTCATTTTTATCAGAGGCCAAAGTGAGGAAGGTTATAAATAGTAATTTTCCTTCTGGCCTGACTTCTAAATCAAGTGAGAAATTTAAATGAATAATGAAGTAAATTAGAGAATCCATATTGCTACCTGTACAGCTATGAGGCTGACATGAAGAATAGGGTTTCTCTGTGTGAAGAAGGAGGGTCATAATCATGTCCCTCAGCACTGGACTCAGTCTCTCACAATGTCCAAGTGGGACTTGCCTCCTCTGCCCCTTCAAAAGGGTCTGATTGATGCCGTATCTTTTGGCAGCCCCATCCCAGAACACAGGGTAGGGAGAAAAGCTGGGTAAACCATTACTCCTTCCACACTCACCAATTAGATTAAGACACAGCTCTTCTCCCAGGAAAGGAGGAAGTCAGGTGGCAGAGTCCCGGTGGGCTAAATTTATGGACAGAGCTGCCTCCATATCATATGAGAAAACCAGAACTAGGAGAAAAAATGTCCCCATCTTCCTATCTGCTATGATCTGAAACTGTCTGTCCCCCTGAACACTCATGTTGAAATGGAATCCTAACAGAACAGTGTTGAGAGGTGGTGGGACCTCTAAGAGGCAGAGCCCTCACACACCAATGGCTTTTTCAGGACCAGGCTGATCCTCACTCAATAAGCTCTGGCTCTTTCAGAACTGGATTGGTTACTGTGAGAGCAGGTTGATACCAAAGAAATTTTTTAAAAAAAGAAAAAGAAAAAGAGGGTGTCCCTTGTATTTTGTTGTGTTCCGTCTCTCTTGCACATGCTCACAGGCCCTTGCCAGAGCTGCTGCCATGGCCTTGGACTTCTCAGTTTCCAAAACGGTGTGTTAAATAAATTTTTTTCTTTATAAATCACCTAGTCCCAGATAATCTGTGATGAAAACAGAAAATAAACTAAGACATTATCCCTGGAATATTTACTAATTGGACATAGTATTTTTTTCTGTTGAGTGCACCAAGGTCCTAACAAACATAAATTGATCAGAATGCACATGATGAGCCAGCCAAACAATGAAGGACACGATTGGCATAAAATATTAGCTAATTTTTTTTATTATTCTGCCACCAGGTCCAGCTATACTAGTTGAATTGAATCAAGATTTAGACTATTTACAATCAAGTGCCACATTAACAATACTTTGTTAAAAGACTGACCACATTTTACCGTGTGTCTATAAGATTTTCTAATGATCCTGTAGCCACCTTTGTTTGTGCCAGTGCATTCTATGATGTCTGTAAGATGAAATCACCCAGTGATGCATTTCTCAGCCTATATTCCTGTCATTAAGTGACACGTGACTATAATTATAATCAAAAGTAATTATCTTAACAGTTCTCCAAACTCTGCCATAAAAAGTCAACATTGAAAAAACATCAGTGTATAACTGTATAAAGACTCAAGGTTGAAGAAGATACTAGGTAAATGTAGAATGTATTCTTCACATTATTTGCTAAGGAATCACAAAATTTTTTAAAAGTACCACTCTTAACTTTACTAATGGCTTTTTATGTGTATGTGTAAAGTTTTCCATTAATGAAAAATGCTGGTGAAAAGATTGATTTAAGTGCATTATTGGAATTTAAGGATTTAAGGAGTATATGGGACATTCAGTAATAAAAAGTGAACTTATCACGCCTATAGATTTAAGTATGGCAATTTGGGGGTTAACTCCTGTATTTTTAAATTTTTAGTCTGTTTATTTAGAAGCACTCACTTTTAAAACAAGAATCTATTTATTGCTTTTTGGCATTTCATTTAGGTTCAGCAGAGTCTCTTTATCTTAAGGAGGAAAATTAGAAAAAAGGTAGGCATTAATTTTTTATTTTGAAAAACAGGATTTTACTGGCACTTGGTTTTAAATCCAGCTATCCCAAGCCTCAGGAACTACACAAAGTGATCTGAGAGAGATGTTTTCGTCTCCTGTGTTTTGTCTATCACCAGTTGGTACATGGCTTCAAGCCAGTCAGGAGCCCTGCAGTAAGGGTAGAGAAAGGTGAAGGCAGAAGTCCAGCCCACCTTAGAACCCAGCCTCCCAAGTTCATGGCCACACCCTCCTCTATTGACTTAAGCTGGGAAAGGTAAAACCAAAACGGCTAAAATAAGTCTAAAAACAACAGGAAAGGAGCAATCCGGAATTAGTGTTCAAATAACTCCGCCTGCTTGGGAGCCCAAGCAAGCAGGAAAGAGCCTCTTTGAAATGACCACACTTGAACCAAACCTCTGAGGTTCTGCATATTAAAATTGGCCTGTGCCCCTCCTTGTTTCCAAAAGGGAAGTGCCAAATGTCCTCTGAGAGACTGTTCCCTTGTTGACCTAAATGCATTAGAAGGGAAAGCTCTCAGAAGTCTCCTGAGAATGGGGTTTCTTCTATGAGGAGTTATGAGTTTTAAAGAATTTCCATTCCTGGATGTTATTTGATGACTGAATGCCAACTGGAAAGTCAGTCTTTGCCAGTCTGGAAAAGCATGTATATTCAGGGACACAGTGACGTTTGCTTAGTAGGATGTGAAGAACACTGCCTTGGCCCTTAAAATCCGCAAAGACAAAATATCTAGTTACCTCCTCACCAATAACAAGTGTGCACGTTCATGAATGTTGGCTGTTCAGCTCTGGGCTAGAATCTGTGGGAGACACACCAATTCATGCAGAATTGAACTTCACATAAGGAAAAATGACAGACATGATTTGCATACAGGAAACCAGGAACAAATCAAAAGTCTTTTTGGCCACACTGAGAGTATCACTGCAATTTGTTGAAAGATTTTTTTTTTTACTAGGAGATTTGCAAATGAAGCAAAGTCACAACTTTGGAGTAAAGGGAGTGGAAAATGACAAGATAAAATTATTGGAAAGAACCAGGCATCTCAGTTTTATCCACAGAATCAAGTGAAAAAAAAGCATATGGCCAGTGCTCTTCCAGCTATTCTGTTCTAGCCAAGAGTTAACACCTCCCTTTAGTTCCCTGTGGAAATAGGGGCTGGCCACTGGGTCAAGTCCAGCCTGCCACCTGTTTTGATATAGCCTAGTGGTTAAGAATGTCTTTATATTTTTAAGCAGTCTGAAAAAAAAAATCAAAAGAATATTTTATGACACATTCAAATTATATGAAAATCAAACCTCACTGTCCATAAAAATTATATTGGAATCTAGCCATTCTCACTCATTTACATGTTCTCTATGGCTGCTTTCACAGGACAACAGCAAAGAGGAGCAGTTGCAAAGCCGAATATTTACAGGTTAAAACTGAAGTGGCTGGTTCCTCCTAATTATATTCTAGCCTTATTTGTTTTATAAGCAAAGTTTGCCAACCCTGGTTTCAAAATAATAATCTACTTTCATTAACATAACAGCCACCATACAGACTCTGTGGCAGTGGCACATGCCTGTACTCTCAGCTGCTCAAAAACTGAGGCTAGAGAATTGCAAATTTAGGTTAGTCTGAGCAGTTTAGTGAGATACTGTCCCAATTTTTTTTTTTTTTAAGGAGCTGGGAATATAGCTCAAGTGTAGAGCACCTAAAATTCAATCCCTAGTACCATGAAAATAAATATCCTAAATAACAGCGAGTTTAAATGTTTTAAGCCCCAATTTTAATTCTAGGATTTTTAAAGTTGCCTCTATTTTCTTGTGCTATAAAGTATTAAAAAAGTATATTATTTTAAAAATTAAAAATAAAGAATAGGCTATTAATAAACTATTTCTTTTCTTTTTTCTTGCTTTCTTTTCTTTTGGTACTGGGTATTGAACACAAGGGGACTCTACCTCTGAGCTATAACCCCAGCCCTTTTTATTTTTTATTTTGAGACAGGGTCTCACTAAGTTGCCCAGACTGGCCTTGAACTTGGGATTCTTCTGCCTCAGACTCATAAGTAGGTAGGATTACAGACATGCACCACTGAGCCTCACTAATAAACTATTATGCAGGTTTTCTTTAGACTTTGCCTATTTTAATGCCCACAGAATCAAGAAACCTAAATTAAAATATTAAGTCCCATAACTTACAATGTCTATAACCTTGGACAAACCCTGTACCACCATCATAGTGCGTTAGTGAGACTCCACATATGAAAGTACTTTGTGAATTAGAAAGGACTGTAGAGTAGAATCCCATTAGTATAAAGTGATGACCTTTAAATTTT